AAGGACTTTTAAATGAAGTTTTTCTGAATGGCAAATAAATGAGTATGTAGGATTATTTAGGTTGGTCCTTGTATGATAAAAAAGAATAAAAGAGTTTCATATTTGTGAATATAACTGTTTGACGTATAAATTTTGTAAGCATGGTCACAGTAACCTCGGCAGTTTTTTTTTCCAAGTGTCGCCACCCGCTGACGCAAACGAATCCTGTGCTATCCGGTTTCTGAGAATTGTTTTCCGAAGCACATTCACTGAAAATGTACGTCCTTTCTACCTTTGCTGAACAGTAGAGAAAATGCTCGCTTATCTTGATATTTTTTGATGACCTCATTTCTTATTTTTCTCGTTTTATAGTGGAAATATGAATTTAGTTTTACTTTTAAAATATTTTATAACACGCTGTGAGAGAATTCTTATTTTATTATATGCACGAGTCGTGCAGACTTTTTTTGTTCTCACGTTAATTAAATAATGTGGTAGCCAGAATTATTTGCTTATTATCATTATAAATTGATTGTTGCCTTTAACTGATAAATATCAGAATGTTACGACCGTTTATGTTAAATTTAAATTTCGACAAACAGTAGGGGAGCGAAGCAAGATTGAGAAAATATTAATGTAACTTGATCCGGTCACTATTAAAATCAATAAAATTGCAGTTATACATAAATTTAATAAAGGTAACTTGGGAAGGAAAAGTTCGTTCGAACCTTGAATTCAAGCTTTGAAAATAAAATTTGAGTAATATAGTTTATGAATGTTAACTTTTTTTCGTCCGAAGTTATTTAAAGCTTGAAAAAATAAGTACTAAGGAATGTTAGGATTAACGCCTCGAGAAACTTATGTGAACCATTATTACATTTTAAATGAATAAATGATAAGTTTGACAGCCCTGTACATTGATGTGTGACAGCGAAGCGCGTATTGGCACTTTGAAAGCGAGACTCGAGACGTGCTTCAATAAGAAATTCCTCGGTCGATACATCATGCACGATTGTTATCGATAAAGTGCTGAAATGACTCGCGCGTTCGCAACGTATGGACTCGTAATGCCGCTACGTGACGGGTATTAAGATACGCTTTCTATATAATTAATGAGCGCCGCTCAGACGAATGGCGTTAATGTAGTGATGTGCTTAAACTCTACAATTGGCGTCTTTGTGTGTCGAATATCGATGTTTACTAGGGTTGACATAGTAATTTGAATTGGATCACAAAGCTGTTGATGTTTAAATTGTCTAAAATGTCAATTATTATCCATTCTTATTGCACCTTTCTTAATGTCAAATCTGTACTATCTGTACTAATATTATAAAGAGGAGAGATTTCTGTTTTTGGATTTTTGTATGTTTTGAAATAAATCAAAAGCTACTGGGCCAATTTCAAATAATTGCATCTTTAAAAACATATGTTATCACTGGCTATGTTTTTACTATTTTTTTTATATTTTACGCGGACAAAGTCGCGAGCATCATCTAGTTCTAAATATTATTGAAATTTGAGTTGCTCTGCATGTATATACTCGAATTCATACTAACATATTTCGTACTTCATACTAATATTATAAATGCGAAAGTTTAGATGGATGGATGAATATTTGTTAGAGTTTGTAGCCCAAACGGCTTACCGGATTTCGATTAAATTTGGTGTAGATGTAGAGGTTAGTCTGGAAGAACACATAGGTTAATTTTTAACTCCACGCGGACGGAGTTGGAGGGGAAAGCTAGTTTTTTTTTATAAAAACAAGTCTTTTGCTTATTCTATAAAAAAGACTAGTGCCATTAAACGTCCTGGTACTGGCTAATGGGGCATCATTCATTGAATTATTTACGTCTGCATTTCTATGAAGCGACCATTCATTATGGTTATTGCGAGACTTGGTGATTTTATTCTCACTAGGCTCGACTCGATATAAAAGTAGAAAACGAATGTATAACAAAAACAAGTGTAATATCGAAAGACCGCGACGCCCTCTACATTGCAATCGTGTAAACCGGTTTAGATACAGATGGGATGGGCTAACAGGCTTTGATGCAGTGTCGATTAGATTGGAATATCAGACTTTTGCTTTTACTGTGTCTGGTTTGTAATTTTTAAGTTATTAGTTGGCATAGTTAAACTTATAATATCTTCTGATTCTAGTAATATATAGTACGATTTATAGCGTATTTTTTATGACGATTAGCTAATCTTAAATCATTAGGTGAACGTCCTGTTGTTCAACTGATTAGATTAAAATGTTATCATCAAATATATTTATTATCTGTTTTAAAGAGCATGTTTATTAAATTTATTATATACTAGCTTTTACCAGCAACTCTGTCCGCGTGTAATTAAACATAACAAAAGTGAGTAGCCTATATGTTCTTCCAGACTACGCTCTACGTCTATGCCAAATTTCATTGAAATCCGTTCAGTCGTTTAAGCTACAAACTCAAACAAACATCCATCCATCTAAATTTTCGCATTTATAATAGTTTTTTTTTTATTTCGTACGCATTGCGAGCGGTCGTTGATAAGGATTTAATTTTATTATCCATCCGTTATTCGTTTGCACGGCTAATAATACTCGTGATGCAATGGACGACGATGGCGGGCTGTGACTCATGCCCGTTTTGCATAACAACATCGCTACTGATAAAAACGAGGTATTTCTAATATTCTCGTTCTTAAGATCTTAGATAAAGTGTACAGCGTTAGCTGGCAATACTACGAATCACAGACTTACAACTGCAACTAATGGCAACAGTGTGCCGAATCTATTCTATACTAATGTTATAACTCAAAAAACACTAGGCCGATTTTTTAAAACTACTTCTTATTACTATTTAATTGTACGTGGACGAAGTCACGAACAACAACTAGTTTCTATTAAATTAAGAAATAGGAAGCGGAAATGTGAAAATAAGATATAAGAAGAAAAAAAAACAATTGTTTTATTTTGAAATATAACCATATTGCTTTTAGTTGAAATTGAACCATGTATCTTATACTGAGATAACGAAACCACTATGCTATCGCGGTCTCTCATATCAGTAGTTAAACGTTTGCATTATTGATACAGATTACGTCGTCGCCGCCTGGTATTTTCCTATTAAAGCACCGGTTCTGCGTATCCGTATCGGTGAATTGTCACCACGTTATTACATACTACGTTTTTAATACTCACACAGATGTATCTCGAAACTGAATCAAGAAAATGTAAATTTATAATGACCATCATCTCCCCTGCCTTATCCTACTCCCGTAGGGTCGACGCACTTGCTTTCGTCCTCCAAATAACTATCATCCGTCATCTCAGTCATCACTTCCTTCTTGATCATGACACCTTTCACGCAATCCATCCATCTCTTTTTAGGTCCACCGCTACCGGTGTACCCCTCCACATTCATAACTAACGTCCGTCTTGTTACATGCGATTCATCCCTTCTCATAACATGCCCATATCACTCTAACCTTTTACTCCTTATTTTCTCAACCACTAGGGCTACTCTCAAACTTCCTCTAAGATACTCATTTCGTATGTTATCCAATCGTAAAGGTAATGTGATAAATGAATATATGGCTACTTTAAATTCATTTGTATACCTCTCATAGTTTTGTATAAATAAATCAATGTAGGTAAAGAAAAGAAAAAATGTTGCACATATTGTATTAAGTTCATTGTAATCGTACTCAAGTAGTCGTACTCACTTATTGTATTGTATTTGTAAACATGAATAATAAATTTATACTCGTCTAGACATGCATTAACAAACGTAATTAAATGCCTAAACCATTGTGTAATGCTTTCTAATAATTAATTGTTACATCTTATCTAAAATCAATTAGATGTAATAAGAAAGTAATTTTCTAATAGCAAAAGAAAGGTCGTTAGGTAATCTTTAGCGATAGTTTCTCCGTAGTACATTCGCGGCGTGGCGCGAGCCATTTAATATAAATCGTCGAGTGTTTGAGGCGAAGCTGGGTCGCTGGTAGGTTACGTAGGCAAGGGCGGTGACCTTGGAGTCACCCCCGCGTCTTCGCCTCCCCGGGCTACCCCAGCCCTCTCCCCTGCACCCCCGGGGGTGGGATGTGGACCGACTTCTGAGGGATGTATTCCTTTGACGGTTGTCGGTCGTAGTTTATTCATGTCGAAGTCGCAGAGCGCAGAACTGACGAGAATTTTTATTGTTCTCGTGGACACCTTTTGCTTTTTTTTCTTGGCTCAGAATGTTTGTTTTAAAATTATTGTAGTACCCAGTAGTGGTAGAACTAGTTTTTACCTCGTTTCAAATTTCTTTTTGTTTGTAATGTTCAAAATTAGTGGTAATATTTTTCGATTTAATCTAAAATTAATTGTTAACTTCAACTAGAACGAATACCAACACATTATCGTCTGCAAACTAAGGTCACTTTGATAAATGTTTTTATTGTTAATACGAAACAAGCGGTTAATTACGCCGCGGCGCCTGTTGTAGCCAGCTTAGTTATATCAATACAAACAAGCTTATTTATACAACTACATTTAACTGGCTTCCATCACAACGTAATTATCGAATAAACGCTAATGATAAGAGATCGTTCATTAATGTTATTTGTGGAATAATACTGTTTTATATATTGTTATCTGTGCTATATTTATTTTCATTTATGGATAAATTTTATTCATAAATTAATTCACTGGAATAGAAATTGCTTAATTTTTAATTATTGTACAGTTTTTAATAAGAATAGTTGCATTACTAAGGTTTTAGCAAATTTGCAAATAACATTGTAAGTGCCCTACCATAATAAATACAAGGCTTCAAATCAACATAAATAGTTTTTAGAATCCCTGTTCATAAAATTTGTAACAACATTGAATAATTTACAAAACTACAATTAATTAAATTTCTGTATTTAATCGAGATCTTGCGATGTTTTTTGTCCTCGATTAACTAAATTCATTATGTATGCATTCAAGCACGTTGCTTGTTCGCCTTGTCTTGCATATTTTTTCACTATTCAAATCGTGTTTCCAGGTAAGGTCGAGTCCAATTTGTTGCATAGCAACTAGTTTCGAGTGAAGCAGGGGCGCGCGGTGAGTCATTTTCGGCTTTTACTGTAATGAAAACTTTACGTAACTGACGCCTTTTTTACGTTGGTAGCTTACGATTCTACGAACGCTTTTAGCTTTAATTAAATTAATTATAGTGTTGTGTATTGTATGTTTGTTCAAATAAAGATTTTTAAAGTAAGGGTTGGTAAATTAAATAATATAAAATATTTTGCTTCTCACTAGTATTATAAATGCAAATGTTTAAATGGATGGATGGATGAAAATTTGTTAGAGTTTAAATCTACTACTGAACTGATTACGATAAAATTTGGCACAGATGTAATGGATAGTCTGGAAGTACACATTTGCTACCTGCTTTTGTTTGTTAATCCCACAGGGACGGAGTCGCAGGCGACAACTAGGTACCTAAAGTTATGTACTGAGTTGAAAGAGAAAATAGGTTATTTATTTTAGATGTTAAAACTTTGGATTACCATTGGCTATTAATATCGGTTTGGAATTTAATTGACCTCCCAACCTGTGCTTGTAACGGTCCGTTATTTCAAGTAACAATAACGTTATTCAATGGACAAGTCAGTATTGATGCGATTATATTCAGAATTTATTAATGATTAACACGTAGTTCTCGATCATAAAACTAGTCTTGCACGCGTTGTCCAAATCGATTTGTTTTCATGATTCTTTAAAATTAAACTAGAAATAGGTTTTTTTTAAATACAAGGTGGCAAACGAGCAAGCGGCCACCTGAATCCACCGAAACGGAAAGCGACCGCTGCCCATAAACATCCCCAATACCAGATGCGTTGCCTACCCTTAATTGACGGAGGAGGAGACGCACATAAAGAGGACATTTCCTCTTCCTATACGTCTCCTCCACCTTCATATCCACTTTTCCTTCCCATCATTGAGAAAAACGTGGAAAGGGAAAGGGACTAAAATTAGGACTCCGGCACCACACTCATTAGACGAAACGCGGAATTGCTTCCCCTTCACGCCTGTTTTCTGTGTGGTCGTGGTATTACACCGGGCGAGCTGGCCCATTCGTGCGAAGATGTAAAAGCGGGCTCTACCACTGTTAGGTGACGTATTTTCTTTACACTAGGTTGACGTATTTTCAATTATTTTTGTTAATGTAAGGGCTAGTGAAATCTATAATTTTAGTTGTACTGAAGTCATCTAACCTAGAATTACAATTCATTAAAGATTTCAGAATTTAATTGATATTAACTTCAAAGTTCCCACGTGAATTGCATAAGTGTGTTAACGATACTTACGATACGATAATTTATTTATTAAATGGAAATAGAATAGGTACAAGAACTCGACGTGATCAATGCAAGGTCCGATTAGATTTATAGCCTACAGTCGACTGTCACTTTTCACCGGTTATTTAGGAGCAGTTTTATGTTTCCAAACAGAGATCATTTATTATAAGTAAACAACTTATATGAGAATATTGAGATAGATGTCTTGTTATTATTTATTTGACAGGTTTAATATATTTCAAGCTATTCTTTCGGTGGTTTTATTTCTCATGCCTAAGAATTCAAGTTTTTCCTGTTCCAATTTCTTTTACTTTATAGATTTTTTTAAAGGTCGAGTCGTGAATGCGAGCCGGAAAACAAGATATTGTGATGTCTCGACAGAATAATCATCATTCATCGTGAAAATTATAAATGCAAAATTTTGAAGGATGAATGTTACTCCGTATCTCTAAAACTGCTCATAGAGTTCTATATAAATTTGTCACAGATGTAAAATATAATCTAGTCTACAAAAAGGCTAATTACTTAGTTTTTTTTAATTCTGTGCGGGCAGACTTGCGGGCGAAGTTTAGTGACTTATAAAAGATATTGATAGGCTATCCCGCGTTGTAAATATATTTCGTTACGTTTATATGCAGTGAATATTAGTCTACAAAGATTCGCTTTTTGTCCATGTCGTTCACCTTCAAACCAAAACAACTTCTCGTATTTAGTTTTTATTTTTTCAAAGCCTACACAAAGATCATTATCCGATCGGAGCGGGCTGCGTGTTGCCGGACAATCGTCGCCCAGTGAGGCGTTCTCTATTATTATTAGCAATGTTGGTTATTGTGAAGAGGAAAACGCAACTCGAAATAGCGCTGGCGTTAGCGACAACGGCTTGTCATACTTTGTCTGTGCGACTAGGGTTGACAATCGTTAGGAAATAATTCTAGGAAATTATTTTTCTCAGTAAAGTTTATTGCCTATTGTTTATTATTAGGACAAGTATGTTTCGAAATGTCATCGGTAATGGGGCTTCTGTCGTAGATAAAGATTAGATTCATTTCATTTTTAATTGTTTTAGGTTAGCAATTTCATTTCTTTAGCTTAAAATAGCCAACTTTCATGACAGAGCTAAATCTCTCTAGTCGACAGTCTCTGGGAAAGCTATTTTAGTTCTAACGTAAAATCTGATGGAACGAAAATAGTGCTACGCATTTTGCGACCATTTTTAAATGGTCGTGTTTTTTTTGTTTGTTCGCTTCCATTTGAATGCGAGCGGGGGCTTTGTGTCATTTTCGGACGAGCGAACGCTTCGGTTTCCGCAGCGAATCATCGAAAAAGGCATTGTCGTTGGAACGCTTGCGTGCGCCACGCTTCATTAGCGGCCGCCAGAGGCCGCTTGGAGCGCTGCATGCTGACCGTACTTTACTATATTTTATTGTTATGTCTGTTAGATATATGTGTGTGTACAGACAGATACGGGTATTGCTTTTTTTAACTGAATTGTGCATTATGTATTGCGAGGTGATTAACAATCTGGTTGCTTTTTGTTTGATAACCTTTTTAATAATCTAACTAAAGTTTATAAATCATGACTAAAGTTCGTGTTGGCGTTTTACATTTGTTTGGCAACTATTAAGGAAGTGTGTGATATTGTTTTATTGTTTTTATACTATTAAATTTAAATGGTCGTTAGATAAACGTGAAGAGTATAAAACGCTTCAAAAGAAATTTTTCTTTTTTTTATCTCCTGACATCAAACTGAGATTCTCGTGTTAGTTTAACCCACTAATGTTAGAAATATAAAAGAGTTCTGATGTAAATGGTATGTCAACGTCACGTAAACATATAAATGATAACATGAGTAAACATTAAAGATAATAGACAGGTATTTGAGGCATGTGATAAACGCCATATTTAATAAAAGTCCATTATATCCGCTTACGTTATCATTTTGATAGGTGGTAAAATTTCTTTATATACTTACGTTAAATTATGTAACGATTTCCACACGTTTTGAATATAAATTAATATTTTACCTTCTGTCAATTGGAATACATTAGAAAACGGGTTTTCTTTACATGAATAAGTTGATATCGTTTAAGTGTGGAGCGTTAGTTCTGTTGCCTATTCATGGCTTATTCACCGAAGCCAACACGGTCGCCAGTCCGCCGCGCATGGACCAATTTAGAAGATTCGTTTTGTACACGTCTGAATGGCCCTCCACAGAGCAATTTCCGCCCGTATGTTTCTCATGCTAGTTGCATATGATTCATTCGAATATAACTGTTCTACTATCGTATTTTGATAAATACTTTAGCTTTTTGTGTGAGATGGACATTTAAACACAGTTAAGAGTTTTAATACATAGTGTTTTATAGCATTTAATAGTCACATTAAATTGTGTGAAAACAATGTATGAAATTAAGTAATTATTGCACGCAAATGAAGTCGGGAGTACCAACGTTTTAATTGTGGTTTCAAGAACACTATAGATGTGTGCAATATAACTGCATTAACAACAGCTTTAACATGAAGCGCAGTAGGCGTTTCGTGTCGTCCGGGCGGCGCATAATATTGCGCAATAGTCGTTAATAAACACACGTGTTATCTGCGAGGTTCTCGAAGCTTCCAGCTAGCGTGGCCGCGTGCCGACGCCCGCGCCACGACACAGTCTGACGCGGTGACGTGGTGACGAGTGACGCAGCGAGTTCACAGGGCTGCCACTTGCATCGGTCTTGTTAATCTACGTAATAAATATAAATGTTTATGCCCTTTGCGTAAGCCACCACCTTAAACCACTTAATATATTGCGTTGAAATATGTTGTAGGGTATCCTTGGTAGTTGAGAGATTGTTTATGTATTGAAAAATCTTATCGTTATTGGTATCATGCACAATACTAACTCTCTTAAAAGCGTAAGAAGTACATATAAGTATAGTTTTTAACGTCTTATTACAATTATTTGATTTTACATCAATACGGATTGGTGTAGTTTACACTTTTGTAATTACGCATGGTGTATTTACCTAATGTTAAATGAAATTTTGTTTTTCAATAGTGACGGCCCTAATAGATGTGTAGAAGATCGTTATAAAAGATTTCTGTTGAGAAAGCAGAATAGTATGTACTATCTACTTATGTATATAGGAATCGGTATAATAATATTACGTAGACGTCATCGCGATAAATCAAAACTAGTAAAATGTGTTATGAAGTAGTATAATAAAATTCTTATTTTGCGAAGATCATTTGCATTTATAACACATATTTAATTTACGTACGTAATATGGTTAAATTATACAAAATTTTAGAAATAACCATATGTGTAATACAGATAACATACAGATGTTACGTATGTGATTAGTCGCTTTTAAGGTAATTACCTTTTCAAATAAAAATAAAATGAAAAGGTATTGCTGCCCTTTTCAAATAAATACTTCAATATTATAACACGCCTTTGTTAGATTTTGTAATCGTAATAATCCTTTTTATCGGCGATCATTTTGTATACATGATATGTCAACTAAAACCCATATCGGGTTTAGGGGAATCCCCAATATTGAAGCTAGGAATGAAAAATTCTGATGAAAACTGTATGAGTAAAACTAACAATTTGATATTGAAAATGTTAACAAAAAGTTAATGATTAAGTCTGTGTAAACTTCAAACAAAGAATGATGTAATTTAACGGATATCACTGTGTTTAATTTAAACAAATTAAATTGTTGTATGTACAGTTGCGGAAATACGCAGTGTTCTACAGGAAAA